GGACGGGCGCAAGACGAAAAAGGTCTCAGGCCGGCGGGGCGGCGCCGGCGGGCAAGAAGCGGAAGAAGAGGGTGGTGCACGACCCGAATCGGGAGTACATTGTGGAAAGGATCTTGGAGAGCGACACGGAACCCGACGGCACGCGGCGGTTCAAGCTCAAGTGGCACGGCTACGGCGATATGTACAACTCATGGGAGCCCGAGCACCACGTTGGCGACGAGCTGATAGCCAACTGGGATCGCAGCAAGGACGATGCCGCGGCGGCCGACGCGGACGCGGCCGTGGCCACCACCGGCACCCGCCGTCTCGGGCCTCGGCGCGCTGCCACTCCCGCTGCCGCTGCCGTTGCCCCTGCTGCCGCTGCCCCTGCCGCTGCCCCCACCACCGCCGCTGCCGCCACAGGGCCAGGACCAGGGCCGGCAGGGGCTCACCGCCTTAGTCGTGAGGAGCGTGCAGCTGCCCGTGGTGCTGCCCGTGGTGCTGCCCGTGCTGCTGCTGCTCCAGCTCCGGCTCCGGCTCCGGCTGTGCCTCTGGCCGCGGGCGCAGCGGGTGCTGGGCCTTCGGGTGCGCGCGGCGGAAAGGCTCCATGCAAGCTCTGCTCGCTAAACCACTTCGCTGGCTGCGATGTGAGAAAGACAAATATTGGTTGTGATCGGTGTAAGTCACTTACCCAACTCCCTGGACATGTCTATCCGAGCCTTCTTTTGTCGTCCTGGCGCAAATGAAACTAACGCGTCACACTGCAGGCGAAACATGGGGTCTTCAGTGCGTCTCGCAAGACGGCCAGACCCAGTACCCGACCAGGCCCGAGTACGCGGGCACGGGAGAGCTGTTCAAGCTCAGAGTTGTCAAGTGCGAGCAGTGCAAGGAAAACAACCGCCCCTGCGACAGGACCGAGTTCTGCATCTCGTGCGCCCAGAACGGCGAGGACATGTGCGACCGCGGGGCCCGGGCGCTAACCTTCGCCCCAGGCTCGGCCACGGGCGACGACCAGCCCTTGTACTTCCAGGCCCTCGGCTGGGACGGGCAGCTCGGGGTCCCCAAGAACCCGCCCAGGGCCGAGGTCCCGGGCCCGCCCTACCCGATGGAGCTGCGCGTCGCCAAGACGTGGCCGAAGTACTACGGCTGCCGCCGCCTGGACCCGGACCGCGACGTCTACAGGTTCAGGCAGCGCACCCACGCGCCCCCGGGCTTCCAGGAGCACGACGCCCCGGTTGTAACCGTGCGGGAGGTCGCCGATGCGTTATATGTGCCGCCGCCACCGCCGCCTCCTCCCCCCGCGCCGCCTGCCCCTCCCGCGCCGGCCGTGGCTCCTGCCCCGTCTCCTTTCGTGGGCCCTGGCTTTAGTCCGGCTCTGCCGCCGCCGCCGCCGGTTGCGCCTCCTGCTCCGGGCTTTGATTACGCTCTGTTGGATCCCGCTTTGGGTGGTGGTCTTCCTCCCCCTGCGCCCATGGCACCGCCTGCTGTTGCGCCGCCTGCCGCAGCGCTGCCTCCAGCTGGACGAGCCGCTGGAGGTGCCGCTGCGGATGCAGATGGCGACCTGATCATGACGGACGCGGAACGGGAAGCCTACGGCAGGGAGCCTCAAGGGCCTTCGCAGCCGTGGACGTTTGACGACGACTTCCTTCCGCACTTCACCGAAGACGGCCTCGTCGACCCCATATTCGACGGCCCGATCGTGCGGCGGCTGCCGCCGCGCGCCTACATCACGCCGGGGCCGTACGGGCGCGACGACGACGACTACCCGGGGGAGGGCAGGCCCTATGTGGGCCTGCTCTCGGCCGGCCAGCCCAACTTTTACAACCGGAGCACGCTCCGGCAGACGGACGCGCTGTCCCGCCTGCAGGCCAACCCGGACGCGCACCTCGACGACCCGGGCCTGGTCGACCTCCCCGTCCGGCCCGACCACCTGCTCCTGAGGCGCGCCGACGTGCTCGCCCGTCTGGGCCACGACCCGGCCGCCGCGCGCCGCGCCGCCGAGCCCGTGGGTGCCGAGTACGACATTGCGCCGCGCCAGCTGCTCCCGCTCACGTCCGTCAGGGTCCGGGACCCCATCGGCCTGCCGTGCCTGTTGGACTTTGGTGGTGGCGGGTCCCGCGACGACGAGGAGGAGCGGCTGCGCCCGCACATGAGGTGCCGCGAGCCCCGCCGCCCGTGGCCGGACCCGTCGGCGTGCGGCAACGACACGGACCGGTGGTGCGAGGACGCGCGCCACCACCACCCGCAGCAGCAGCCCTCGCCCGACGACGGTAACAACAACCACTACTGGGTCTGCGAGGACCCCTGCGACATCTCCAGCAAGCGCGCCATCCTCGACCCCGGGAACCAGGGGCTCGGCCACCTGCAGACGGCGCTCAACCTGCGCATGTACTTTTGCGCCACGTGCACCGCGGGGCTGGCCAAGAAGTCGGCCTGGCAGGGCAGCGGCTTCCGCGTCTGGTTCCGTGGTGACGACGACGGCGAGGACGGCGCCGCGGCAGCCGTCGTGAGCGCAACCGACGCCGACGGCCACGGCGCCTTCATGCCCGACGGCAGCGGCGGCGGCGGCAACCCGCTCGACCCGCTCGACCGCCCCCTGCCCGCCGTCACGGGCTGCTCGTGCTCGGCCAAGCTGCTGTACCGCACCCTGTGCCAGCACCACCGCCTCTCGCTCGCCGACGCCGTCGTGCGCGCCGCCGGCCTGCAGCGCGAGTGGGTGCTGACCGTCTACGGCGTCGGCAACGTGTGCCCGCGCTGCCTTAAAAAGGGCGGCGGCCTCCCGCCCCCACCCGCCGGCGCCGGCGCCGTCGCCCAGGACCTCGTCACCATCGAGGGCATGGCGGACCCGGCCGCGCCCCTGGCCATGGCCTGGATGCAGAACCTGCGTCTGGACAAGCGCGGCGCCTACGACGGCCTCGACCACCTGGCCTACATGTGCCTCGCCTGCCAGGACCGCGTCGTCGGGCCTAGGGACACGGTCCACCGTGAGATCCGCTGGCCCCCCGGCTTGGACCCCATGGACCGGGTGGCCTTGAGGGACTAGTAGCAAGGCCGTCATTATCACTTTGTCCGAACTTGCTCCACCCCCAGAACTGCGTGCCTGGGATGGCTGGCATGACGTTTCGATATTGTCGTTTGTCTTTTTTTTTTGTCTTTCTTTCTTCTTCTCATTAGCAGATCCGAGCTCGTGTCTGATTGCTTGCCTCTTCCAATCTTGGTTGTTTTTACCCTGGTCTGTACTTTGTCGCGCGTCTCAATCACTCAGTTTAACTCCGTCATTACAACGACGCCCGATTTATTATTTCCTTCTACAATCCAACTTCCTTGTTTCTATCCCCCCGGCGCAATGCTCTTCCTCCCGGCTAAACCTGCAATCGTAAACCATCAATAGTCTTTAAAAATTAGGCCCAAGTGTATCCATAAGCCGCAGCCTCCCGGGCAGGTAGAGCTCTGTGCAGACTCTGCGCAAAAGACTGTTGCTGTGGCATGGGCGTGTGTCAAGGAGCGAGTAGAATCAAAGGGTATCTTTTCAGGTGCAAACAAAACAAGAAATCAGAGCGAGGAAAATCAACGCATAAGCCCAAACGTGGAATAGCCCAGTCAAAATGAATGTGCGAGCCCAGATGCCGACGGTGTTGTGAGCCCAGAAAGGAGTGCCCATGGACACCACAATAGGACCAAGGAGCGTGAAGGGTGATGAGCAAGGAACGACCAAATAAACATTAAAAGCGGACCAAGGGCGTGGCTGGAGAACCATGACACATCCCTACACAGGACAGGCCCAAGGGCAAATGAATGCCTTATCACCTGGCCCCTCATAAGGCGAAGAAGGTTGCGACAAGTAAGAAGAGTGTCGTTAGGGTGGGTTGGCGCCAAGAGGAGGCACCGGCCGCTGGCACCGTCGGGGGCCTGCTGGTGGTGGTTCCAGGAGGCCTGGAGATGGTCCCGATCGGGAGCGAAGTGCTGGTGTTGGTGCTGATACTCGAGGATGAAGACGAGCTTGTGATTGACGCGCTACTACTTGTCGTAGACGTTGACGTAGGTGTGCTGCTTGACGAGGAGCTTGAGCTGGTGACGTTGGCACTCGTCGAAGAGGCAGTGGTGGTGGTGGAAGTTGAGATCGGGACCGGGGCGCTGGTGTTCATGCCCGTTCCCTGGCCCGTCGTCGTGACATCTGTCGTAGAGACCTGGGGTGCCGGATTGGTGCCCGCGGTTGTGGTGGGGTCCCCGACGTCATCGCAGTAGCTCAGGTATCCGACGAACTCCTGGACCAGATACACTCTGCCACCACTACCAATGGTTGTGTTAAGCTGAGTGTCACTGCACTCCAAGCAAGTCGCTAGTTCACCCTTGAAGGCCGACCCTGGTGCGCAAAGCTCAGGTATCTTACCGCGGCGTTGAGCTTCGCGGAACGCATTGTTACAAAACTGGAAGCATCTCGGCGATATCGGTGCGTTGGGCTCGAAGGCTACTTGGCGCTTTAGCAGGCCCCGCTTGGCGGCCTTTAGCAGCTCCTTGAACGATCTGCTACTGTACTGGTTCTTCGGCTTCCAGACAGGCGCGGCACCCCGCTTCTTGGGTTTGTAAGTGTGAACTGCATCTGCCGAGGGTGTTGGAGGCGGATAGACACTCAGTGAGGCCTGCGAGGTCCAGATGCCGGTAGTGATGGTCTGCGTCTCCCCATCCACCATTTTAATCACCTCGATTTTCTCGAAGATGCCAGTGCTGAGACCAAAGGCCCGGGGGTCGAGGTTGAAGTAGCCCTCGGCCGGCGGGTAGTAGCCCGTCTCGTTCTCAGCCCAGTGCACGGGCTTGATGGGCGGCGCCTGGATGCAGTGCTGTGGCTCGCATGCGAAGTCGTCGGGAGGAGCGCTATCCCAGACCGCGCAGCCACCAGGCTTGGGAGGATTGCATACATAGCCCGGCGCGCAGCCCCACTTGAAATTCTTCGGGGTGTCAATGACCCTCCTTGCTCCAGACGGTGTGGGAGCCGGGCAGGCGGGAGCTGGCGAGACGGTAATTGTCGCGAGAGTTTGGGTCTCAGGCCTCAGCGTGATGACTTCCACCCGAGTCACGGTCGCCGCCGGGAGAGTGGTCACGACAGTTTGTCCCTCCTTGGTCATAGTCACGGTGATGGCTGGCTGAACAGTCGTAATAGTCCGCGTGCTCAGCGACGTAGTGGTGATCACTCTTGTCACAGGCGGCTGTGTAGTGATGATAACCGAAGTCTCGGTCAAAGGCTTCGTCGTTGTCGCAGTAGCCGTTGTGGCCTTGGTGGTGATTGTCGTCTTCGTCTCGGGTTTCGTAGTCGTGGTAGTGACCGTGGTCTGAACCGTAGTAGGGACCTTGGTCGTGTACGTCGTGCCGATCGTCAGGGTGGAGACGACGGTTGCCACCACACAGGTCTCGTCATGTCTGCGAACCAACTGCCCATTCTCCATGTACGTCTTGGGAACAACCGAGCACTTGCTCACGGTCTAGAGGCATATCAGTCAGTAAATCTGCCAGCAAGTGAGAAAGGGAGCAGGTAGGTAGACAGTCGCAACGCCATCATCTTACCTCCGTTTTCTTCACCGTGACAGTCGTGGGAATGATAGTGGTGGCCCATTCAACCTTGGTGGTAGGCACGCTGTACGGCGCGAGTTAGACCCGAACTTTCTGGCTAGTATTGCCTCTTCTCACAGGGGGGTCGCGATATCGGGGACTCGACTTACTGAACGCTTTGGGTCACAGTCTTCACATCGCTGACAGTCTTCACGTCGGTGACAGTCCTCACATCGCTGACAGTCTTCACGTCAGTGACAGTCTTCACGTCGCTGACCGTCTGCGTTACGGTTTTTGTGTGGTCCGTTGCAGCAACGAGAGGGCTTAGGACCAGGGCCGCGATGGCCCAGGGGCGCCACGAGTGCACCATGGAGGACGGGGCTGCGACGAGTTCGAACTGATGAAGAGTCTGTCAAACTCGCTGTATCACAGCTAGTCTCGTCTTCCTAGTGGCCACTACAGAACGAGTGTGGGCAAGCGAGTGGATTTCCTGATACATGGAAAGATGCATTTTGTGTCAGTGGGAGGCATCTTGGGCACCCTGGCTAGGTAGCTAGCTAGCAAGGTCTGCGGTGGTGGGTCGTACCTAATGAGGATATCAAGAGCCGTAACAGCCGCTTCACTCTGTCGAGAGCACGACAGAGCAGCCAATGGAGGCTGTGGCAGGAGAACGGCTTGTGACGGAGACCCAAACGGGTTTCTTTGGACCAGACTGTCGCGGAGGGCGAGAAGTAGAGGAAAGGAGGTGTCCACAGATCCGGGAGAACAGGACGGCGCGCAGTTATCAACCAGCGCTAAGATGAGCTGTCTGCTGCGCCCCTGGCAGGTCTGCCTCCCGAGGAGAGGACGTATGCACTCGCATGCAGGTTTCAGTGGGGAGCTCAGGAAATTTCCACCATGCAAAGTGCGGGCCTAGGCTGCCAGGCTCGGGACTGGACCTACAACGAGTAGGTAGGTGCCGGACAGACAGGATGGGGGTGGTGCCGCTTTGGCAGGCAGGGTGTGATCCATCAAGACACCCATGTCGCCTAACCTTGTTCCCTCGTAGAATCAAGACCGCCCGCTGCGGCTGCCGTACACGGTCAATACCAATACGGGGACGGGTGAGCGGGGGATGGGCTGAGAGGGAGAGGAGATGGGCAATGGCCTGTGGCGTTGGTGGAGAGCGGGATGGGCAAAGGGCGAAGAGGCGTGCCGGCAGGGCGTGTAGCGTCACATCGTACCCATGCAGCTCCATCCTTGGATGTGCTGGACTCTGGTGTCGCTGCTCACGGCCACTTGGCGACAAGGGCTAAAAATGGGCGACTACCGATTTTTGCTCGTCATCACTGGGACGACCCTTGCCCTGGCGGGACCGTCTGTTGTTCCTGCCAGCAATTTCGATAGATGAGGCTGTACACACAAAAAGAGCTCTGGTGGGACTCCTTGGCAACAGCCAGATCTGACGCTCGGGGCACAGGGCAATAGAATTTGCATGTTGGTTGAGAAAGGGTCACAGGAGGGAAATTGAGACGAACTCAGGGGTAGGGAGAGATAATGCGCACAGCCATGCTATCTCAAGTAACAAGACCGCGTACAACGGTCAAGTGTTCCTGCAGATGACAGGCCTGTTTGCCAAAGGGGAGGCTGGTTCCTGGCTGGGATGACTACGGGACGGACTCCGAGCTTGCCATATCGACTGCGGTCCACGGCAGCAGCTTCCTGGGGCCGGCCAGGAGAGCTGGGTGTGCAACACACCCACCCGTCTTGCACCGGAGCTTGTGTGACCTATGGGAGGCCAGGACGCAGCGAAGCTTCCTCTGCCGTGGTGGGGAGAGCAATATGTGCACCTCTTTGCAGGGCGGGAAAGTGGGGTTGCTTCCATCAGCGGTGGGTGATGTATCCGTATACAGGCCGTTGGCCGCTGAGGCTGCCTGGCCCCTCCCTCCTTTGAGCACCTACCTACCTAGGTAGGTACCTAGGTAGGTAGGTAAGCGGCTTGGCCATTATCAAGGTCCGATTAATGGCCGGGAGGGTGTGTAGCGGCAAATAGTGCATGGTAAAAATGCTCTTTCGGTCGGTTTATCGGTGCCGCAGTGGGGAGGACAACCGCCACCTTCGGAGCGAGACAGTGCCTATGGTGGGAGCGAAGGTTTCTTGTGGTGGCAACGCGACGCAGGCCGCTGCTCGCAGACTGTCTCTGGATGTGCGTTTGTGTTTGCGTCTGTGTCTACGTCTGTATCCGTATCTTCGTGTCCCCTAAGCCTCGGCGTTGGCCGAATTGGGGTTCCAATCGTGTCAGCTTACCGACAAGAAAATTGGGAGGCACAGCTATTGATCGATCGCAGAGGCGAATCTCGGACATTTCCATTGTTGTGAGGCGCGACGCTTGCCATGTGCTGCTCGCGGCGGGGTGCGGGTGTGCGGGTGGGAGAGGAGGGGGCGAGGTTGGGCAAGAGAGCCAGGGTCGGCAAGGCTGCCATCAATCGAGGTCGTGGTCGGGATGGCGACTCAGCACAGGCCAGCCAGCGACCAGGGTAGCTTGTGGGCCAAGAGCTGCGGTGGCAGGGCCCCTGCAGTGGTAACGTGTGTTGGTGCAGGGGTTGGAGTTGGAGTTCCACAGACCTGAGCTGACCGACTCCTGGGGCTCATTTCTCGACGAGGCACCCGGGCGACAATTGAGTAGCTCCTTTTTTGCTATGGTGCTCGCTGCTTTTTCGCGCTCGAGACAGTGACGTTATACTCTTTTTTTTTCTTTTCTTTTTCCCCAAGGATATTCTGTCTTCACAACGCAACGAACTACCTGCCTAGGTACATATCTACAACATGCAAGACCTACCTACCCGGTTCTCCCCTCTCTCCCAAGCCATCGAGTGGGCAAGGCCCCTAGACGTGGTGAGGGGTAACTAATAGTCAGCACAGATAAATCAACCTACCGACAGTGGGACGCTAGCGCTCCAGCGCATCGACATGTGGATGATGTGCATGGGCAAGAATCCTGGGCTGGCACCTGACCCGACCTATTTTCAGCCCAGAGCATCTCCCGATAGGGCAAGGCTGGCAATGTGTTGACCACTCGTAAAGCCCGGCCTATCGCTACAGACGCCGACACGCCGTTTGCTTGAACGGTTCGAGATCTCTGTGGGGTTCGGGTGGCTTGACGTGTTCTGCACGCTCCCGTCGTCAAGCTCCCGAACCAGCGGCAATCTCGCGTCGTCTGAACTGCTGACGAACGAGTTTGAAGGCATAGTGATCAGCTTTGGACAGAAAGCACAGAACTAGCGATTCCGTGGACCTCGACATCAGTTCTTCCGTTTTCCCAACAAGGAAGCTCGTCTTGCGCTCGCTAAGAGGATTGGTGGCTGAGCAAGTGCGGCTTCGTGAGGTAGAGGTGGGCGACGGAAGCCGGTGGCTGGGCTTGCTTGCTGTTCTCACTTTTTCCTTTGTTCCGCGATACCCCACCATCCAGCAGCGGAGTCGGTTGCGGTGGGTCAATAAAGATGCTGTGCCGTGGGGCCACAGCCAACTAGGCTGTACATCCCCGCTGATCGCCCATCCCAGCAAATGAATTGATCGCGTTGGTTCTGGATCTCAGAGGAGCTTTGAGCTGTTTTTTTTTTCTCACCCCCTCTTCACAGCAATCACCGCCCTGCCTCTGTGCTCAGACCATGTATCGAAGCCAACATCGCCCAACGGGCTCCCAGGGTCTTGTCGTCTTGACTCGGGGTTTACCAGGATGGAAGCCGAGGACGGCGAGACGCCTTTGAGCTCGTCTTGGCCACCATAAGCTCGTCAAAGAGCACCGTCGATGCCCAGACTCGTTTGCCTCGTCAGCACATGGAATTTTTCCTTGGGGGCCGTCGTCGCTGGCTTTATTTTCCGCCTTGCTTCCCTTTTGCCGGCGGACGGCCCGACAAAGACAACCTCATCTAGGCCCAGAAGAAGTCGCTCGTTGCCACCCTTGGCGCTGCACGTGTCGTTGGGCAAGGTACAATGCAGATGCAGTCAGCCCAAAGAATGCAACCTTGGCCTGACCCGACCGACATCTTACCACTCACCCACTGTGCCACTCGAGAAGAGGGAAGGACAAGGGACCACGCCAGTGGGGAACGGGCAGTTAGTTCATTGCCAGGATGAAAAGGGCCGCCAGTACCAGCCAGCATAGTAGGGCACGGTCTCCCGTTTGCGCCCAGGGCACAGGCCGTTGCATGACCAACACCAACAGACACCCAGGGGTTCTTCTCGTCAGCTATCCCAGACGGCCAATTTGTGTTGAATTGTCTCCCGTCTCCCCTTACCTTCTGCAACAAGCAGCTGGACGGCTAGGGCTGTCTGTGAAAGAGGCCAGGAAAAATGTCCCGACTGGACGGTTGAGGAACAGAGAAACATCCACTACTCAGCGGCAAGGCTGGCCGTGAGGGGCGCCCAGAAATTTCGGGTACTTCTCGGGGCCTATGGGGCCGCTGGCGGTCATGCATCGTGACTACGGGGACAGAGTAGGAGTGCTGATTCTAAGGGTACCATACTTAGCGAGGTGCGAGGTTGCAACGCCTGCCTTCTCCCCAAGTAGCCCAGGCCCTGGCAACTTCCTCGCCTCTCTCGACAAATCAAGACGTGCAAGGTCTCGATGTGGGTGTGCTGCCCGTTGTGTCTACTAGCAGCTGCCATTCCCCAGTACCCATCCCTGCGACCGGAGGAATGCAGTCAAGACACACAGGTGTCTCGCCCTTGGCTGCATCTGGACCGCCGCCACCCGTTCCTCTCAGGGAAATACCTTCTCGTTTCTGCATGCAATATCCAGAACCTTGGAAGTACCAGGTACCTAGCCGCTACTGCTCCTCGCCGTCTCCGGTTGGCCGTCTGCTGTCTGGGACGAGGTCACTGCAGAGGCATCCGTTCCGTCCCTCCTCGCCCCGTCGCACTCACGCTGCTCTGGGCGGCTCAGTTCGGGCCCGGAACTGAGGTAAGCCACTGGAAAGGCGTCCTTCCAAGCCCCCGCTTCCTCTGCTCCTCTTCCGTCTTCTTTCATGCCGGACAAAGGACGTCGCTGTGTCTTCTGCATCCGGGAGACCTCGTGGGCTGGCATTCTTTGATCCGCATCTGCTGACGACCAGACACCAATGCGGCCTTAACTACATTGCGTTCCAGTGGTTGACCGGGATTTCCGAGGTCTAGCCTTTTTTCTTGCTTCGCTGGTTTATCATCATGTCCCAGCTGTGATACCCGCCCCTCCCACTCATCTTCTTGCACCTCACTCCTTCCCTTCCACACAGACGTTGAAGATTCGCGATTTCGGGGGAAACTTCATATCCCCTTGTCCTCGTAGATAGCGCTGCCTATCTTTTCCCTGTCTCTTTTCCCTCCCCATATTTAGCCCTCCTTATCGACAAAGCAGGGACGCACACAACAATAACGCGGCCTCGGAGGCCTAAACGGGAGTAGAGATGCCTCAATCACGAGCTGCCTCCTTGGCTGGAGTCCTGCTCGGCGCCCTGGCCCTTACGCCAATGACCCAGGCCCAGCATGGCGGATGGATCAAGGACCAGGTCAACACAACCATGTGCTTTTGGGAACAGCTGCGAGGTGAGCTCCAGCCTAACCGGCGAGCTGGATTCAACGCTGCCATCGACCCGTCGTTTCTATATGACCCGACTAACCTGTGTCGTCGTGGTATAGGGCACCAACTAAGGGACACCATCTATCTGGATGGTGGCCTTCTCGGCTGGAGGCCAGGCATGAGCACTGGGGAATATGGCCCAATAAACGCCGATAGTAAGCCTCTCAGCGACCTTGAGAATATGCTCTCCTTTCTAACCGGCACTTAGACAATCCTTTCGCTCTCATGTACAAGCTGAGGCTGGGAAAGGCGTTCAATATCACGGACAACATCACCTCAGTGCTGGAGACTCTGTCGAAGGCACCTGGATCGGGTGCCGGGAATAACATCGCCCCAAATTACTACGACGGGGCTCTTCTGGGCAACGACAAGGCCTTCTATTTATACGGCGGTCTTCTGACCAAGACGGACACCCTCAGCGCGCCCGAGCGCGACAGTGTCTACGCCTACCGTGGCTACCAGGCCAACCCAGAGTCCCGCGCGGCCTTCTCCCCTGGATTTTTCCTCAACAGGCTGCCCACGAACCTGACGCGCTACCTCGCATACGGCGGCGCCGCGTCCGCACCGTCGGAGAACAAGGCATGGTACTTTGGGGGTCAACACTCGCCGTCCTGGGGTCCCATCTACACTCCAACGCTTAACAATTCGGAAAACGCCATCAACGCCTCCAATACACTCATCACTCTCGATATGAGTGGTCCAGATGGCACGGAGAAGTGGTCCAACGTCACGCTTGACAACGTCAAGGGCCGTGCCAATCCCGAACTTGTCTGGGTTCCCTACGGCGCCCAGGGTCTGCTCATTGCCATCGGAGGCGTCACCTACCCCGACTTCGACAACGGCAGGCTTCAGTCGTCAAACGCCGCGGCGAGCGTAAGTTTTAACCCTAACATGATGACGGGCCGGTGAAATTTGTACATACTGAATCGCATCACTTCAACGAACTAGGAGTCTGAGAGCAAGGGGTTTACTGCCGAGGTCGACGTTTACGACATCGCCAAGGACAAGTGGTACCGGCAACCTACTATCCACACCGGGCCTGGCGCTGTGACGCGCGGCTGCACTGTGGTAGCTGCTGCTCAAGACATGTCGAGCGTGAACATCTACTACTACGGGGGCTACAATGGCCGAGATATCGCCAAGGAGTTCAGCGACGACGTCTGGATCCTCTCGCTTCCGTCTTTCATGTGGATGAGGGTCACCAACGGCAGGCAGGGATACGGGCGCGTTGGCCACAAGTGCTTCAAGCCCTACCCAGACCTGATGATGGTGATCGGGGGCCAAAGGTACCAGCCAACTACCGAACACCTGTGCCTTCAGGACGGCGTGATTCAGCTTTTCAACCTCACCTCGGCCACGTGGCAATCGAGCTACGATCCTGCGAAATGGTCCAAGTACGGGGTTCCCGCAACCATTTTCAACATGATTGGCGGCACAGCAGAGGGAGGAGCCGACCAGAAGCGGCCCGACCCCTCGGGCTTCGCCAACTCGGAAATGGCCGCCGCCTTCGCCAGCCCTTACCCCACCCAGAAGATCACGACGTACTACCCTTACGCCTCGGCGGCGTCCAGCGACAACACGAACTCTAACCTGCCCGGGAACGGCGACGGTGGCTCGGGAGTGCCGAGCTACGTGGGGCCGGTGGTCGGCGTCATCGGAGGACTCATCCTCATAACTGGCCTCATTGCCGGCTTCTGCGTCTACCGACGCCGCCATCTGCTGAAGCGCGACCAGGCGGGCGCGAGCGAGGTTGGGACGACGGACGAGAACGGCAACCGCATCATGAAATGGATGCGCGGCCAGCCGAGCGAGCACAAGGGCCCGCCCACCGTGACGGCCACCGAGGAGACCGCCTTCACGCCGTATATGGAGAACGGCCTGCCGATACCCCCGAAGTCGGTCCAGAGCGTCCCCTCGACCACACCCGCAGCCACCGCATACACCACGACGTCGCCATTCCCGGCGGTCGAGATGGCGGACACGCATAGGGCAGAACTGATGGGTAAGAAAACCCCCTTGACAGCTAATTCCCCCTCCACCTCCCGCCAGCTACAGCAAAAGACTAATCACGGGACCGCAAGGAGACAGATACTTCGCACTCGCCCTGCATCGAGCTTCCCCACGAGCCTCTGTCAGCAGCCGAGATCGTGAACAAGCACCCACATTTCGCCCACCAGCAGACCAACGGCGGGTCGATCCACAGCTCCAACCTCTACTCCTCGATCGTGCAGACTGACCACGCGTCGGTGACGTCGAGGTCCTCGCCCGCACCCGGCGCCTACCCGGGGCTCGAGCCGGGCGCCCCCGGGCGGCCGGACTCGCCCCCGCTGGGCGGCCCCGGGGGCTACGACACGCTCGGCGACCTGCCCCAGCAGCACCAGCACCAGCACCAGCACCAGCACCAGCAGCCGAACCCGCACGACCAGGGCGGCCCGCTGTCGCCCGTGTCGCGCCTCGAGTCGGGCGTCTCGGGCATCAGCGACCGCGACCGTGGCCACCTACGCCAACTGTCGGACGAGACCGTCTCGTCGTTCGGCGCCGGCGGCGTCACGGCCGCGCAGGCCAACGCCGTCGTCTCGCCCTCGTCGGCCGTCGCGGGCCCCGGTGGCGGCCAGCTCCACCCCCTGGTCGGCACGCCGCCGCTGGTGTCGCCGCCCGAGTTCGGCGGCGACGGAGACGACTACCTCTCGGCTCGCGCGGCCCAGGCGGCCCAAAGGCCGCCGCAGCCGCCGCAGCGTGGACCGAGCAGCGGCAGCGTGGGCAGCCCGTTAAGGAAGAGCGTGTTCCATGAGGGCGAGTAGAAGGGTCTTGGGTCGAAACGCTTGGCCGTCCGTCCATCTTGACTAACTAGTTTGTCATTTTAATGTCTTTTTTCCTTCTTTCATTCTCGCTCTCTTTGTTTCCTCTTTGGCCTCTCTCATGGCAATTCCGGTATATACCTTTCATAGTGTCTTGTATTGGTGTTGTCTCAGGAACCTTGGGTAAAACAACAGATGGAGCGATTTCGGCTAGGCTCTACCGTAGTTGAAATCGATCATGTGCTAGGAAAGCATTCCTAGCTATATAAAAAAGGACAGTAATGTTTTCGCAAGCACATGAGCGACTTTTCAATGACACGAATGCTCCACACTTTCGGGACCGTTGGGGCCTAGGCACTGCGTTAACAAGGCAAGATGCAGAAAAAGCGGTGCTGGCCTCCCCGGCGCTTCCAGAACTCCTATTCCAAAAGCAGCGCGATATCTTTCTGCTCTCTGGCCATGGCAAGGTCTCCTGGCCTTTTCCCCTCGGAATTTTCGGCCTTGGAATTAGCGCCGTTGCCAAGTAGCAACCGTACCATTCCTATGTTCCCATTTTCTGCCGCCGTATGTAGCGGCGTCCGGCCGTTGGCATTTGTGGCCTCTATGTCGGCGCCGTTGTCCAGCAGCAATGACATTGCGTCCTCGTTCCAGTGTCCTGCCGCCAAATGCAACGGCCTCCGTCCGCCAATATCTGCCCCCTCTATATTGGCACCGTTGTTCAGCAGCAAGCGCACCACTTCTATCTGCCCATTTTCTGCCGCCGTATGTAGCGGCGTCCAGCCGTTGGCATCTGTGGCCTCTATGTCGGCGCCCTTGATCAGCAGCAATGTCAATACGTCGCCGTTCCCGTATTCTGCCACCAAATGCAACGGTGTTCTCCCGTTTGAGTCTCTGGCCTCGATATTGGCGCCGATATCCAGCAGTAATGATATCACGCTCGCATTTTCGAATATTGTCGCCAAATGCAACGGTGTTCTCCCGCTTGGGTCTCTGGCCTCGATATTGGCGCCGATATCCAGCAGTAATGATATCACGTTCGCATTTTCGAATATTACCGCCAAATTCAACGGTGTTCTCCCGTTTGGGTCTTTGGCCTCCGCGTCGACACCGTTGTCAAGTAGCAGCCGCACGATACTTTCGCACCCCTGGGATACCGCAAAGTGCAACAGTGTTTCCCCTTTTGGGTTTTTGGTTTTCGTATCGGCACCGTTGTCAAGTAGCAGCCGCACGACACCTTCGCACCCTTGGGATACCGCGAGGTGCAGCAGTGTTTCCCCTTTTGGGTCTTTGATCTCCATATCGGCACCGTTGTCAAGTAGCAGCCGCACGATACCTTGGCGCCCGTGGAATACCGCGAGGTACAGCAGTGTTTTCCCTTTTGGGTCTTTGGTCTCCGTGTCGGCACCTTCATCCAGCAGCAATTGTACTCCACCTTCGTCCCCGACTTCTATGGCTTTTACCATAGGCGCCTTCATGTCGGGGATGTTGATCTTGCCAAGGTGTTTGTCCAGCAGCTGCGCGAAGATGGTATACTCGTGGTTGTAAGCCCACTGACGCAGCCCCAAGCCATCTTCTGCTTCTGCGCGCATGTCGATCCTCCCCTCCCTTAGGAGTTTGAGAACCAGTCTTTGACATCCAAGTTCATTCAGTGCAGCGCATTTGATGTGATGCAAGTAGTACAACTTCGCGTAGGGGAGAAAGCTGAACTGATGCGTGTAGTGCGGATTGGAACGATTTCTTTCATGCAAGAGAAGAGGGCCGATGTTGTATTTGGGTTGCTTGCGAGGTTTCCAAAGAAGCGATGCGGCCTCCTGAATACGGCCTGAGGTCGAGGTGCCCAAACTGGACTGGATTATCTTTTGTGGTGCTGTCGCGGCCATCACTTGAGGGGCCACCAATGTGGACAGTTGCGTGTCGAAGACGCCGTAGTTGAGGTAGGTGAGAATAATGTACGCCATTGTTGTCAGTGCACTGTTGAGGGTAAACATGACACCAGATGAGGACCCAAGCAGGAACTGTTTGACGCTATGATGCACCAAGTGCACGGCGAAGTCCTCCTCGTCGACAATGACAAGGCCTCCGCAGCAGGCCAGGGTCGAATGTATGTCGTTGAGAAGCTGAGCCGGGTTCCAATCCGTATTCCCCGGGGTCACACTGAGGGCTTCCCGTAGCTCGTCTGTGGTGAGTGGACGCCGAGCGGCGGTTACAAGCTCGAGCGTTTTTTGCTGGTAGTCCTTCCCAAGCGCTTCCGATTTCTGTAGGATGCGGGAGAATGTGCTCGGAAGATCTTTCGGGAGGTCGGCCAAGGCTCGTCGGATTGCTTGGTCTGTCTTGGCGGCGCACAGAGACTCGAGCTGGAGAGCAACCCAGAGGAACATGCCATGGGCACCCTGCACCAGAGCATCCTCGATCTCTTTGATCAGGAGTGGATCTCCCATCTTCAGCTTTCCAGACGCTCTGCGCCTCTCTAGCTCTGCAGAGATGAATTGGCCGACGTCGGGATTGTTGTCGGGAATTTGCCAGAAGCTGGACCTAGCGAGGGTGATTGTGCGTAGCCGCGAGGCGGTGCCTGGCTCAACTCTGAACGAAACACACACCAGAAGAGAAGACGTGTCTTGGAGCTGCCGTAAGACATCAAACATACTTTGCGCCTGGCCGTCGTCGCATTCGTCTAGCCCATCGACAACAATGTAGGCTCTTGGAGGTAGGACTTTCAGGAGCAAACTCGTCACTCCATCAAGGTCCATCGCCGGACTTGTCGGGTCGGTCAAATCCCCAAGCCTGGCAGGACCAGGAGGTGGGCCTAGCAGCTGCCGAGCCAGGCAACCCATTATTGTCCGTGCCTGTAGACTGTCAGGGATGTCGTGCCGGCAAAAGAAGTAGGCGACCGGAAGCGGGTTGTTCTGAACATAGAGGCTGAGATCACCGACCATGTTGGCCAACAAAACGGATTTGCCGGACCCCAATTTGCCGGTACACACAAGCGTACAGGAGCTGGTCTGGGTTTTCCAGTCTTGATATTTCTGGGTTCGGTCGAGGAGGGTGGTATATCCCGCCTTTTTTATTTCTTTCCAAGATTTCTGGTAGTCATATGCGGAACAAGCATCGAGAATGCGGGAGTAGGCCTTGAACTTTTTGCGATGCGTCTCCGATTTGGAGAACTGGAGCAGAGCTTTGGTTGTGGAGCCCTGCTCTACAAGATCCTTCGCCATGAGAGCGTTTACCTCGTCTTTGATATGCGACGCCCATAAATCGGTCCCTGACTGGTAGGCCTTCAACTCCGAATCGCTGGGGAACGATAGAAGTTGGCAAAGTACCGATTTGTTTGTCAACTTTAGGTGCTGGTGGCAGAGGTTGACAACGACGATGAAGTATTCGCAGAGGTATGACTGTAGCCTTTTGGATTGTGGGTAGAGCAGCGCCATCATCTCGTGGCGGGGAGAAGACCGCCCGATGGCCATGAGAAGATCCGACAGCTTCTCGAAGTAGGAATGGAAATTCGCCACAACCTACAAACCGTTAAGACAAGGGGGAACTCATCAGCCGAGGAAGTGAGTGGCTTACCAGCAGCGTCATCCTCACGAGCGACCAGATACCGCATGCAATAATGTTCTGAGAACCGCCGACCACGACATCTCCAAGAGCCGCGAACTGCTGGGTGGTCTGGAGGATATTACTGAAGCGAGGGCCGAAACATCGGCCACGGTAACCTCTCCCGGCAGCGCGGCGATCAACCTCGGCCGTCAATCGCATGATGTCGCCAGCATCCGGCGGGGATGCCCGCGCTTGGGATCGGTAGGAACGGAAGGTCGCTTTCCGCTCGTCGGACAGGGCGGCTTCGAATTCCGAAACCTTTTGGGCCAGCCGGATCTCGGGCTTCAGCGTCCCAGCCTTCATCAACGCAGAAGACATCGTCAAAGTGAATTTAGGGCCGATGTCTGACAAGATCTTGCTTGGTTCTTGAGCGCAGCCTTGTTCCTGATGGTAGGGGAGGGTCGAGTGATGTGAGGGAAATGAGGGGAGCAAAGGTCACTGTGGTCGCAAGACCAGAGCATGCGGCAGGCACTTGGGCAGAACCTATCAGTTCGGACAGAGAGAGAAATGCATGGGAGGCAAGCCCATTCAGCCGCATATTTTCGGCCGTGGCTGTGCCGCACAGCATTCCCATTGGGCAAAACCATTCGTTCCACGCGGCGCTTGATGGCTTGGGCACCCATATGCACGGTGATCGGGCTATCCGGGGTCCGCGGTGGGAGTTCCCACCTATCACCCTAGTCTCATCCGGGGCGGCATGTTTTCCGCGTGTCTGTCCGAGACCAGGCCAGCGACGAAGGAGCGCGTGATGTTTGCGCTGACAAGGGCGGCGGGTGTTGCCGCTTTTCTTAGCTCCCGTAGACCTATGTGCAGATAAGGGTAGGCTATAGCCCCGTACCGGGACCGACCACGCTCGAGATTGCGGTGGCCGGGGGTATAGAGTTGCTACCTAGCTTCGTGCCTACTGTGTCAACCGGCCCAACTCGATCGCCTCGTCAGTGTTGGAATGCTGATTGTCCGCTTGTGGCATTATATTTTTCTTGACAATAGCATCAGTGCTTAGTTTGTGATAGCACAATTCCTTTGACGCCATTGTTTAGCTATTGCTTCAAATTTGGCCATGTTCCCGAAGCCGATAGCTCCTTGTACTGAGCTGAACGCAATTTTGAGAATGACGGTGGGAGCCGCCTGGCACTTCAAGAGCGGCCTGCTGCGGTTCTAAAAATGTATAAGTACAGCAGTTTGTGCATGTAGTTCCGATCGTGTCCCTCTACTCTACAGCAGCCTCACCCTGAGCTTCACCTTCACACCACACTACTAAGCTCACAGCAACATCGCCCTCTCAACTTCCCTCATATCCCTCCAACCCACACAGCTTCCCGTCTCAGGACCCCAAGAACCCGCAGACGCATACAAGATGGCTCAGCAACACAACGCCAACGCCAGCCCTGCGCCCATGGGCGAGCCGGGCAGCTATGTGTGGCCCAAGCCCATCATCGCGAAGGACAGGCTCTCCTTCTCCAGGAGCGTGACCAGGTCCCCTGTCGCGGACTGCATCGGAGAGGTCGACCCGTCGACCTGGATCATCGCCAGAAGTCTCCTTCTCAAGCACCACCCCGAGGCGACCGCCCCTCCGCCCGGAACGTCCTGGCCCGCCGGCAGACGCTGGGGCGGCTACTACACGCTCGAGAAGGCCCCCGAGCCGCTGCCCAAGGCCTATCCAATCGAGGAGTCGGGCCCGCGAGCTCGGTTCGAGTTGAGTGGTATGAGGCATGGCCAGTGCGTATTCGGCATCGGTTCTGTGACGCTCAAGGTCCACGTCGTCTGCCCTTACTTTCTGGCCCCGGCCTACGAGCACGTCACCCTGAACTGGCTGGCCGAGCGGAAAGGATCCTTCAGCTTCGAGTTCCCCGAAGTTATCACGCACAAAGTGATCGACGGGCGCTACTACCTGTTTGTCACCAACCTCGTCGACACGCTCGGTCTCTACCATCTGCAGGACCGCTGGCAGAGCTCGATGACGACCCAGCAGAAGGATGCCTTGGTCGACCGTCTCGGCGCCATCTCCTGCGAGATGGCGGCTTTCAAGGGGAAGCGCGGCGGGAGCTACACGCCGCTCCTCAGCCCGCCAGTCGTTTGTGACCCGAAGATGCTCGACCCGCACAAATGCGGCCCGGATATGCTCGAGCCGCGCAACTGCAAAAGGCTGGGGCTGGACTGTCCCGAGCGTGTTTTTGCCCACAACGGCATTGCCAGGGAGAGCGGCTACCTTCCAGCGAACTCCATCCTCCTTGACGAGGATAACAAGGTCGTTGGAATCGCCAACTGGGAGCTTGCCAGCTTTGTACCCCGAGAGTTTGTCGTGGCTGCGGGCATGCTCTCGCCTTAGTACCTCATAGATCCAATTATCAACGGGGGCTAGCCGAATACTCGAGGTCTGGGCAAGTGCGGAACAGCAGGTGTGCATTTATAGGCGTTATGGAGGAGAGGCAGTAGATCGGTGTTGAGGCTGTAATATACTATCCTGAACTTGACATGCTTCTTAGAGACCTTGTGAACCCCCGACCAAGTGGTATTAATCGTATCTAACTAACACCTTGTCAGTCGCATCCTGCGATTTGCGCCGGCACAATCATTTCTGTGCAGGTGGCACTTGTCGCACGTAAAACTTCAAAATACAAATATTAACATGAAAATATTGAAACCAGTGCTTGGGTGAACGACCGTTGGGGAATGCCCCGGTACTGTGTATTTTTTTTCTTTTCGTATGTTCTGCGCGCGCCTATGTACCAGCAACTGCCCAATTAGCCTTACCGACTCTGTAGGAGCGAGTCCTAGCTCAGCCTCTTCACCCTGACCCGACCGTCGCGGTCCGCCAGCTCCGTGCCGACGTCGGGCCACTCGGCCGCCGTGACAAACGCCCTCTCGTCTCTGTCGAACCTAGCCGGCACCATCTTGCTGATCCCCTCGACGCCCTTGAGATCGAGCAGCTCGGGACGGCGCGAATCACCACCGGCACTGCCGCCTTCGTCGTCGTCGCTCTTACGGCCGTCGCCGTGGCCCGGCCCCTGGAGCCCGTACAGCAGCAGCGGGAGGATGCTGCTCTTCCATGTGGGCTGCCCGGGCTCCAGGTATCCCTGGGCGATCATCACGGCCAGCATGGCGGCCGTCGCGACCGCCAGCGCCGCCGGGAGCAGGAGCCACGGTCAGACGAAGCGGATGCAGAGCGTGCTCCCCATCACGGCGCCGCGCACAAAGGGCGCGTCGGGGTCCTCCCTACGGGGCGCGTCGGGCCCGGCCCCCGTCGTGCGCATCGAGTCGGACAGGGGGACGAGAAGTTGGCCACCGAGGCCGAGATGGACGCAAAGGACGCGTTCCGCCCCGCGTACAGCGGCGCCAGCCACTAGGCTCTGGCGCACTACAGCTCGTTCTAGACGTTGCAGGCATACCATAGCCTCTAGGCATTCCTCTCGGGATTCATATGCTGCGCAGTAGTTACCGTACCATATCTACCATTGATGCCGTTCGCGGACATTTTTAGGCGCCATTGTGTGAGCTACAGACAAGGCCAGCCACCAAGCGGTTCGTGATGGTGTTTTTGACAACCGAGAGTCTAGCATAACGGTGCCGTGGTCGAGGATGAGCTCGGATATGCCGTAGCCGCTAGCGCCCCCGCAGCCGAGAGTTCGACGCGCGCGGTTGGGCGTCGGCTGACTCCTTGTGCCCGCGGCGGTGGGATTGCTCGCGGCTGCTTTGGATGCTGTTAACCTGCGCGAGGAGCAAGGCGAGGAGCGAGGCGAGGTCTTTCTGGTGCTTACCCGGGTGTTGGTTTATCTGAGTAACGAAGCTCTCATTGGTCTTCTCGAGAGAGTCGAAGCGCTTGTGGATCGTCTCCACGAGCTCGTCCACCTTCGCGAAGCCACTCCGATGCTCTTTTTTGTCTTTCGGGGGCGAGTATCAATCGCCTCGCAGCGAGCCTCGGTCTCGGCTGCCTTCTGGTTGGCTCGCCCCGCCTAATTGAAAAGGGAGCGGAGGCCGAGTGCCCTTGAAGAGCGGTTCTTGGGCACTGGGACTATCTTTGCCCTGAAGACCGTCCTGAAAAGCAGCCGGGTCGTCGCCGGAATCAGGTGGATCGTTGAGGGGGACGCTGGTGCGCCTGCTGCGGCGTTGCGGCTGCGGCGGCGCGTCGTACAGGTCGCTTCCCTCGATTGACTCCTCGATCATGGCATTGTCTGCTGGATGATGGATATTGAGGCTGTCATCGATGTAATGCCACCGATGAAGCTTGGCTATGCCCCAGGAAGGGAAGCTTGTGATCTGCGGCCGTTGCATTTCAGCCGGTCCATGCCCTCTCTCCGACACAAGCTTAATCCACATCGATTCATTCCTCCCTTTTGGAAGTGGGCAGCGCCCAGCCAAACAACGCGATGGTAACGCACCCCGAAGTCGCGCCTATCAATGCTGGATTCTTCACGAGACGCTGGGTCCTGCTCGCCCACAAAATTTTCGCTTAGGAACGCGTTCACCCATGGATGAAGAGCCCGAGTCGCATCGTTTTCATTTCGCCCAAGCTCTGCATCAAGAAAACGGCATTCACAAGACTCGCGGAAGCGCACGCCATGCGTTTCGTATCGCAAAACACCACGATCCCCGTTCCAAAAGTACATTCCGCTTTCGAGCACAAGGGGCACACGTACATTCTCATGGAAAGGGTTGACGGCCAGCCACTTTCCATCGGATGGGTTCAGAGGTCCGAAACGTCCAAGGCCAGGATCTTGAACCAGCTCAAGGCCTTGATAGCACAACTTGGGATTATTCGGCCGCCACCAGGCGTAGGCGTCTCCGATGTTACGGGGGGTCCGATCTAAGACCTGCGGCTCCCGATCAAAAACTTCTGGGGCCCTTTCCCTACCATACCCGGCTTCCACAAAGAGCTCCGATCCGGCGTTGAGATTGAGCACATTGCCAAAGAGCGGCTCTCCAGCCTCCCCGGGCTTTCCGACCTCATCGCCTTTCAAAATCGACCCTGGCCAACACCCGTATTCACTCACGGTGATCTCAGCAGCCAAAACATCATGGCTCGAGGGGATGAGATCGTCGCCATTATCGACTGGGAAACGGCTGGGTGGATGCCACCATACTGGGAATATACAACAGCGTGGCATGTCAATCCGCAAAACATGTTTTGGCAAGAGGAGGTTGACAAATTCCTTACGCCTCTGCCCTACGAGCTGGAAATGGAGATTGTTAGACGGAAGTATTATGGCGATATTTAGGTGAACGATAGGCTCCCCGGTCCAACTCTCAACTGTAGCCACATACTTACTGGTCTTGTGCTCGTCTGTGCCATCAGCTTGCTCTATAATGCGAATGTTAATCTTGTCCTAGACTTGGATGCAGGAGGATAAGTGCATCTTAGGGGTTAGGGTTATAAACCAGGCGGGGCCCCGCCGTCGCGTCCGAGCCCGCCAAGCCAGACCCCAGCGAGTCCAGGAGTCGGCCGCTGGACCTCCAACCACACCGACAGCCAGCCATTCTCCCCCGACGTCGTCGCCAGTGTCGGCGATGCGCCCCGAGAAGCCATGCTGTCGTTCATTTTGATCCAGAACCGCCAGTATGTTGCCCTGATCCCCAATTCCCCC